ACATATAAAAAAAAAAAAAAAAAAAAAAAAAAAACCCACAAGGATATTGAATTACGGATACCCTAGACCCCTTCAAAAGCAGGAGCTGGGATAATTAAGGAATAATATGATTGTATGGCCATAGTTATTGCCTCTTGGTCCTTTGCTTTCCCAATGAGCTGGAAAGGCCAGCCCTTCCTTCTGCTTCACTTCTTAAGAATTGTCTTACTTTTCAAAAAGTTAAACATGAACCTCAAACCTAACATTAAGTCCAATGAAAACATTTGATAAGGATCAAGAGATATTTTCCCTGGAATATGATTGTGAAAATATAGAGGAGATACAGACACCCCCAAGTTGTTATTTTCGAATACTGTTTGCTTATTCTATAATCAAACCATTTCTTCAAACCACTTTTGTCACATCTATTTAGTCAGTGAGATGTAAGTTTGTACCAGTAAGGCTTACAGTGAGGGGACCTCAAATTTCAGTTCAACTAATCCCGTAGAGACGCTCTATCCTAGAGTTCACGCTGAGAAAATGGGCTGTGATTATGGTCCCCAGGGCCCCTCCCCCTCAATCAGACTGAGACCTTACCTCAGTAAATAAGTGCAATTTCAATTTCTGAGCCGCCATGGTAATTTTACTGTGGTTCACCTGACATTTAAAGGTGTAATTTGGGCTTCACTTTGACATATAGGCACTGAAAATGATGCCTTTTCTCAGTGTAGTTTTGAAAATTTTTGATTACAGCTGATACAGATATCAAATGCCTGAGCAAATAGCTGTGAATTTCTCCATGAAGGTGGGGTAATTTGAAGCAAATTAAAATCACACCTATTTACCACAGCTGTTGTCTTTGAATGCATCACTTCAAGTGGTCTAATCTTAGGTTTATGACAGATTAATAATGTAATAGGAGAACCCCAGACTTTCATTAAAGATTCATTTTATTCATGTGACATTTTAAAACGTGCCCTTTCACTTTAAATGCCAAACTGTATGGGACTTTGGTCTGATATTACTGATATTGGTGCAATGAATTGTAATTTTTTAATAGTTCAGAAATTTCACACAAATTAACTAAAATCAATGATTAAAAGCCTCTTTTCCTGTTTCCCCCCCCCCCCCAAATTGTTGTAACACAGTGAATCAAAACAAATGTACAATCATTTTTCATCCCCACAACAGCATTATCCACTAATGGTCCAGTCCGTTTCCTTGAACATTAGTACAGGATACATTTACAAAGGCAAGTATATGGTCAATATCGAGTGTCCACTTCAACTGGCATACACTCTTCAGCTTGTATAGAATTTTCATGATGCACTATATCATGTGATAAAAGAACAGTTGATGAAAGTATGAATAGTTTATTATCATTTGCACAAAGAAATAAGGGTCATCTCTGACAGCTGTTTTTATAATACAGTAGGGACAATGAAAAGGTATCAATTTTTCCTCGACTAAACCACAGACTTCCATAGAAGGTGAAAGCCAAACAGACCAGACATACACATGCTTCAGTTAGACTGTATAAAAAGGGTTTATTTGGAAATTGTAGCTGTGAAGTGTAAAGGTCTTTTTTTTATAACTGTGCAAATGCTTAATGTCTTCATTGATTAAATGATATTTGCCTTATATTCCTTATTCAAACAAATCAATAACTTGTTTGCTTTTTGAGTGCAAAAAGGCTGAAGACATTTTTTCAATGGAAGGTACCACTTGCTTAAATAATTCACCAAACAACAGATATTTGTAACTTATCACTGTGAAGCTTTCGTATAAAATGTATTTAAGTATTAGATAAGTTCCATATCATGTGTTTTCACAAAACATTCTTTAAAATAACATTCAACATATTTTCTCCATAAGTAACACCCCCCCCAACTTCTCACTTCACTTCCTCATTCATCCCTGGCTAGGATGGCAGGATAGTCTACGGCCGCATTCACATCGAGTTGAGCCATGGCTCAACTCAATGTGAATGCGGCCTATGAATACGGTCACTAAGTACTTAAGGAAAGGTCAAAAAGACTGGCATCATAGAAAAAGATGAATCAATGAGAGATCTCCCAGGAAAATTTCACTATGGTAAATTTTTTATCATGTGTCTGGTCTGTTTGCAGCACGTGGTTATTTCCCTGCATCTGCTAACAGAATCATGGTCGATAGTACGCAATATGTGTGTGTGTGTGTGTGTGTGTGTGTGTGTGTGTGAGAGAGTGAGAGAGAGAGAGAGAGGGAGAGAGAATCTCAATAATGGCCAATATCATAAGATTCTTAGTCCCATGAGTCTGAAAGACATCCACCTAAACAGTCAAAATGACTAATAAAAAAATTCTCCCATTAGCAGCCTTTTTCTTGTATGCTGGCTCTGAAACTGTTCTCACTCAAAAAACCTATGTCATCACACAACATCGTTTGGGAAGACAGTCTTATAAACTATATGTATTCCTGGTGTAAAAATGCCAAACTTGACCATAACAAGAACACAGCAGGCAGACATTTAACATGGGAAGTGAAGAGACATTAAGGTGGCAGAAACCTTGGTAGATGCTATAACTTACTGCCAGCTTAACACCCCTTGCAGGAACAAGTGTTTCCCCCTTATATATGTATCTCCACAAAATAACATCCCAATTCACATCCCTTTTGCCAATAACACTGATTTAAGAGAACTTTAACATCAACTCATTTGATACTCAAGCAACAGAGCTGACTTTTTATGGCTTTAACAGAAAAATTGGCCAGCAATCCTGTTTGACGGTCTCAATTGATATTACATGGTTGAATGTGGTAACATCACAAATACTACCCTACTCTGTGTTAATATCATCGATAATCAAAGTGTCAGAAGTGCTCTTTTAAACCAACAAGCACCAGGAAGGATTACAGTGAGTCAGTTGGGAAAAAGTGCATCATAAGTTCTATCTGCACCTCAAGATGAACTCTCCTCACCCCGAGTGTGTCAACCATCATTGAGTCATTCTTACCTAAACTTCCCCCACAGTAAGGAAATTTATTCTTCTGCTGTACAAAACTTTCTGAACACAACAACAGCCTATGGCACACTGTGTGTAAATGACTTTCCACAAATTGACCAGCAAAAACAAAACTAATCTTATGCTGACACATATGATCTTCCATGTACAGCATTAATATCCTGTATCTTACTTGAAACATAAACGGACTATAACCAAGAGTTGCAGAGATCTTGAAATGGGCTTTTCATTGAAATTATAATCACACCTACAAGATATCCTCGTTTTACTGTAAAAAAGGAAAAGCCAAGATCTGTTGACAAAATGGATAACAGTTACAAAGAATCAAATCCTGCTACACATTGAAAACCTCAAATATATTACATACATAATGCACTAAGCTTAAAAAGAGCTGTTTTATTTACAATCAAATTTTGTACCTATATCACTTTAAATGCAAAATCATGAATGATATGACCTGTTCATCACTTTAAAAGAAAAAAACAAAAAAAAACATGGACAATATATAACCTGTTCAAAAATCAACAGTTATTTAACTAAACTTAAGTGACAGAATTCTTCAGCATCTTAATTCTGCCGTCCCAAAAGCTGTCGGCAAACAGTGCTAAAAGCTGCGGTATTTGTCCAGCCCTTTATTCAACTTTCCCCCGGGCAGATGGAACACAATGGCGAGAGTGTATGAACACAATGGTAGAGGATCTAACCTTCCAAGCAGGGGTCGAACTGTGAACAAAACCCCACAATTCAAAGACAACAGGAGCTTATTTAAACACACTCAACTGCCAACCTGAGAGGTTTGAACCCAACGACAGGGAGACCAGACACCCCAAGAGGGAAGGATAACTTTTCTCAAAATCTGTTTTCATCACAAATTCCTAATCCAACCCTCCGGCAGAGAACGGAAAAGTATGCACTGAAAAATATAACCTCTGATTTGCAGTAGGAATAAAAAAGTTACCTGGACTTGTAGGGTTTAAGTATATTTTTCTACCTTTTGCCAGAAAAAAAATTGGGTCAGTGTCAAGTTCAGTGGCTCAGTTGAGGGAAACATCCAGTCTTATTGATCTGACAATACAAATAGCAATCGATCAGGTTCATTGGTCTACATTCTTTTTAGCTAACAAGACAATAGTTTACCAATGCAAGTGGCCAATTACAGATCCAGTGACACATATAGTTAAAATAATTTTCTTGTTTTTTTGCCACTTCAATTATTCATTTGTCATAAGCTAGTTGGAATCATCATTTCAGAGAGAAAAGATCTCCATAACAGTAAGCTAGACAGTTTTCTTAGGCTTCTTGCACCAGTTCACTTCTTTCACAACACATTTAGATACAAACCAGATAGGGACTCTACCCAATTGCCCAAACAACGATTAGCAAACCTGCGTGCAATTATTTATCATTCTTCTCTTGAGAAAAACTAGCTAGAACCAACAAGTGTTTTCAGCAAAAGAGCAAAAAAGATGCTGAATACCAAGAAACAGAGGCAATACCA